AGATGCAGTAACTGTATTTGACCTCCCACCTGAAACAACTAAAAATCTGGAAGAAATTATATGATCCAATGTTTTTCAAGATATTGGACACTGGCCACTGAAGAATAGCGATCCCTGAGAAACAGAAAATAAATGAGGTAAGCTTTAAAACATTTCCAGATTACTGTCTTCAGAGAGTTTCCAGGCTGTGTCATGGAGATATGGAACCAGGTACTGCCTGGTGGTTTCTCTCACGTGAGAAGATGAGAGCCTGGAGAGACCAAGATGGCAAGAGGTGACAGGCATAGTACCAGAGATGAGATAGCTGCATAAAGAGAAAATTCTGGAAAATTTTCAAAAGATTCCCTTTTAAGTATTCAGCAGAGGTTTAGTTAGCACATGAATTTGAGTAAACCTTCCAAGACTGGATAAAAATACCATTTGAAAAGATTAGGGAGAACAACACTCAGACTTCCTCCAAGATCAGGAAAAATGTCTGTTGCCATCAGCCAGACTGAAAAACCTCACAGTTCATGGGGTATTGGGTGGAGTTCCTAGAAGAGTCTTGCCTCAATAGCGAAGATTAATTAGTCATAGCCTAGACATTGCTCTGCTGCCATCTAACACCTTTTAAAAGCAAGTCTCAAAGTCTCATAGTGTTTCCAAGTAACTTAATTTCATTCTAGAGCAAAGTTAAAGAATATGTATAGGAAGACAAAAAATATTCCAGCATTCGAATAAAGTAAAACTGTAAATTTCTGTCATCTAATAAAAATTAACAGGCATGTAAATAAATTGGAGAATACAATCCATAATAAGGAGAAAAATCAATAAATCAAAACTTATCCAGAATAGGCAAAGATAGCAGAAAAAGAAAAGTTCTTGTACATATACATTTTTGTATATACAAAAAAACTAGAGGAAAGATTGAATGGTGATAGAGACCTGCCTGAATTAAAATTCACTAGATGGGATGAACAAGATTAGTGACTGCAGATTAAAACATTAGTGAATCTGAAGATACAGCAATAGGTGTTATCCAAAATGACACCACACACACACACACACACACACACACACACACACACACACACACAAAGATTAAAAAGGAACAGAGCATCAGTGACCAGTGAGATAACTTCAAGTGACCTAGTACATGTGTAATTGGAGTCCCTACAGGAGAAGAGAAAGAGGACAGAAAAATATTTTATGAAGTAATTGCTTACAATTTTCTAAAATTTTTAAATTGTGAGTCTATAAATCTGCAATTCAAAGAAAACTTAACGAAGTCCAAGCATAGAATTACTGAAGAAAGTTATACCAAGGCACATCACAATCAAATCTCCCAAAAGCAGCAAGAGAAAAAAGATTAATCACATTCAAGGAAATAACCATCATAGGAAACCACCATAACACTATAAGTGGGTTTTTTTCAACATAAACTGTGTAGGCCAGGAGAACGTGGGACGATGTATTCAAAGTACTGAAAGAAAAAAACCTGTCAAACAGATAACTTTACACTTTGCAAACACACTGAACAGCAACATGAAAGTACAGGGAAGTAAAAATCTCAGTGGTAAAGGTATATATGTATACATTGAATATATATGTATATATATGAATATATATGTATACATATTGAATATATATGTGTATATATGTATATATTCAATGTATACATATTCATATGCAAAATAATATGACACTAGCAGTGGTGCACAAATTACTCATAACCAAACACAAAAGTTAGAACAAAAGTATTAAGAGTACCTATAACCATGAAAATTTGGTAAAGGATTCCACATTATTAAAAAAGCCAATTCTGATTTCAAAAACGCAACTGTGTATGTAAGGTAAAAGTGTAGAATTTTTGTATTCAATTGAACTTAAGTAATCATCAAATTAAAATAGACAGTTAAAACTATAAAAAGATTTATACAATCATTATGAAAACCACAAAAAACCTCATAATATATATACAAAAGAGAAAGGAATTAAATAAAATCATTATAGAAATTTATCAAATAACAAGACAGTAAGAGAGGAAGACAAGAACAAAAGAACTGTGAAAACAAAACAATTAAAACAGCAATAGTAAGGTTCTTTTAAAGTTTATTTATTTATTTATTGAGAGACAGATAGAATGAGCTTGAGCAGGAGTCTGGGGTGTAGTGAGAGAAGAGGAAGCATCCCAAGCAGACTCTGCATTGTTAATGTGGCCAATGTAGGGTTGGAACTCATGACCGTGAGATCATGACCTAGGCCAAAATCAACAGTCAGATGCTCAACTGACTGAGCCACTTAGAAGCCCAGGAAACAGTAATTTTTTACCTGTTGATAATAATTTTAAATGTAAAATGGAATCTCTATCAAGATCCCAATGACTTTTTTTTTTTTTTTACAGAAGTTGAAAAACAATCTCAAAATTCATAGGGAGCTACAAAAGACTTTGAATAGACAAAGCAATCTTGAGCAAGAGCAAAGCTAGAGATATTATGTTTCCTGACCTCAAATTATATTATGAAACTAACATAATATGGTATTAATATAAAAACAGACAGGTAGGCCAATGGAGCAGAATAGAAAGCCCTCCAACAAACCCATACATAAAAATTAAGGTCAACTGATCTTCAACAAGAGTGCTTAAGCCACACAAAGGGAAAAGGATAATTTCTTCAATGAATGATGGAAGACTGGATATCCACATGTAAAAGAATGAAATCAGACCCCTATGTTATACCACATACAAAAATCAATTCAAAATGGGATAAAGACTTAAATATAAGACTTGAAACCATAAAACTCATAGAAATAAATAAGGAAAAATATTCTTGATGTTAGTCTTCTCAATGATTTCTTAGATATGACACCAAAATCACAGGTAACAAAAACAAATTTAAACAAGTGAGATTACATCAAACTAAAATGCTTCTACAAAGCAAAGGAAGTACTTAACAAAATGAAAAGGCAACTCATAGAGTGAGAAAAAATATTTGCACACCATATATTTGATAAGGCTTAATATCCAAAATATACAAAAACTTCATATATCTCAAGAGCAAAAAAGCCAATAAACTGATGGGCAAAGGACCTCAACAGAAAGACAGGAGACTGAATACTATCAACTAACTTTAACCTGATTAACATTTGTAACATATTCTACTCAACAACATCAGAATACAAATTCTTCCTAGGTGTGCCCAGAACATTTACCAGGATAAACAATGTCCTGGCTATAAAATAAGTCTCAATGCCTTTCAAAGGGCTCAATTCATACAAAGTATGCTCTTTGACCATTATAGAATTTAATTAAAAATTCATTAAAAAAAGACAAATTTGGAAAATCACTAGAACTGGCAAATTTGTAAAATATTTGGGAACTAAGCAATATACTTCTTATTACACAAAGATCAAAGAAGAAATTAAATGAAACTTAGAAAGTATTTTGAAATAAATGAAAATACAACATATCAAATTTGTGGGATGCCACTAAACCTGTACTTAGAGGGAAATTTACTAAACGTTTAGTGGAGCAATGCTATAAAATGTCTTATATCTCCTAGATCCTAGCTTTTTCTCCCTCCTTCACTTTGTTTATGCTGTTCTTTTGCTCTAAGATAGTGGTTTTCAATTTTGGCTGTGTGTTAGAATTACAATGGAGTTTAAAAAATACCATGCTCTATTCCATCATTAGGAAATTTGAATCAGTCTAGGATAGGGTCAGAGCATTAAAAACTCAGATGATTCAATTGTGTAGGTAGGGTTGTGGATGACTGAGTGATCTAGAGTGTTTTCAAAGACTCCAAATTTGCATACCCTAAATTTATTTATCCTTCCAAGATAATTCTAAATGATATATCCTTCACAAAACCTTCCCATATATCATCCTTGGCTGGGAGAAAGTTCTCCTCTAAATGCTTTGATACATTATTTGCCTCTCTCTCAATCCTTATACCTGTAGGTCTTCTCTGATTTACCAGAGAGAAAGTTTAGTTCTTAATACCATATTAACAAGTTTTTTTCTGAAATTTTGCCCCAAATTAGTTATCATTTTTAACATTGTAGATAGATAGAATGTTTAACATTCTCACATGGTAGAAGTGTTTTTGGATGGATGAGAGAACACTTAAGTGTTCACTACAGTTGAATGGTAATAGTGAGTGATTTTAGGAAATGTGACCTAAGGGGGAAAAAGTTTCCTTTATGTCTGATCTTCAAATCTGGCTAACAACTTCTTTTAGCCTTCTAACACCCTCTGTCAACATGTGTTTATTACTAATAACTCTTAATTCAATCAGTTGTTAAATAAACAAGAAAAGCAGAGTTAAGTAAATGTATAGATGAGTCTACTCTTTTATTTTAGTTGTAATATCAACCTTCTTCCTGATTATTCTTTTTGCCATAGACACCAACAGCCATAATAATGGATCAATGATAAGTCCTCCTTTCTCCTTATATCTTGAACTCAAGAAGCTAGTGGAAGAGAAAAGAGATACTAAATCCATCTGAATGATTTCCCAATAATAAGGGATAAGCTTGACTTTATTTGTAGGGATTCTGTAGTGTATTTTCTCTGGCATCTTTGAAAACTCAGCATCCTTGTTTGGTTCCCTAGAAAGTTACGGTGATTTTGTATCATTGCTCAGAACATGAAACAGTTGTATTTCAATAAATTGCTTAGGGTTTTAGGTGAAATCATGGGTTTAACAACAGATTAGAAATAAAATTTTCTAGGGCACCTGGGTGGCTCAGTTGGTTAAGCATCCAACTTCAACTCTGGTCATGATCTCATGGTTTGTGAGTTCAAGCCCTGAATTGATTTCTGGGCTGACAGCTCAGAGCCTGGGGCCTGCTTTGGATTCTGTGTTTCCCTCTCTCCTTTGCCCCTTCCCTGCTTGCACTCTTTCTGTCTCTCTCTCAAAAATAAATAAACATTAAAAAAAAGAAATAAAATTTTCTACTGAAATAAAGTAGCTCCTATTCCAAGGAAAGATATTAAATAGTTCAAATAGAATATGTACCTGGATCTAGATTGGCCCACATCTTCAAGAATCATGGAAAAGTGCTTCCAGGTTTTCTCTGGCTGGAATAAGCGTGAAGCAAATTTCTTTGAATCACCAAACAAAGATAGGAAATAATCTTCTCCTTCTCCAGTTACAACTGGCTCAGGAGCAAGGATTGACAAAGTCTGTTTCTTTGTTGGTATGAAGGTGTTGACTCCTTTCAAAGAATCAATCAAAAAGGAAAGCAACAGAGAGAGAAAGGACATTAAAGAAACCCAAAGTCACTATCTTTATTCTTTGCTTCTACAAAATTATACTCTTCATACATTTTACAGCCACTGTCAAACTCAATGAGGGTAATAAAAAGCTTTAAACCAAATTCTACAAAATGTGTTATTTTTAGTAACACATAATTCCTAGAGATTATTTCAGTGATCTTACATTATCAATAATATCATTAGCATAATTACTTTTTTTAAATGTTTTTATTTATTTCTAGGAGAGAGAGAGAGACAGCGTGAGCAGGGGAGGGTCAGAGAGAGAGAGGGAGTCACAGACTGAAACAGGCTCCAGGCTCTGAGCTGGCAGTCAGCACAGAGCCCGACGCGGGGCTCGAACCCACGAACCATTAGATCATGGCCTAAGCAAAAGTCGGACGCTTAATCGACTAAGCCACCCAGGTGCCCCAGCATAATTACTTTTATTTAACTGATTATTTAGTTGTACTAGAAGCATCATAATCTTTTGAGGAGGTAAAACATCTGAGTTTCTCAAATTTGGATATGTTATATATAAATACAACTTAATTTTGTTTCATATTAGCCATTCTCCTTTAATTATTACTCATAAATTAAAGCCTCAAATGAACCCTTCCAACCAACGATTAGTAATTTTGCCAGGTGAAGACATAAACTTCCACTAATCAACTAAAATTCTTTATTAGAAAGATAACACAGTGCTTAATTAGATTCTAGTATCCTCTTGGAAATTTGTTCTTTTAAAATTATAATTTTGTATGGAAAGAACCATGCTGAATAAACCTAATCATGTGTCTGTCAAGGGGGAGTAACACTTCAGAAAAGGACCACGATAAAGTGGATAGAACAACATGTCTTGAATTTACACAGACAGGCAATTGTATCCCAGCTCTGTCACTTAGTAAGCCAGTGGAGTTAAACTTTTTAATTCTCCATTTTCCTGAACATAAATTAATACTACCTTGCATAAGGCAATGTGAGGATTGAAGAAAATGCAGATAACTGTCTAGCACAGTGTCTAGTATTTAGCAAATATTCAGTAAGTGATAGCAATTATTATAGTTCAGGGACTTTGGTTAATGTGACACTGGGTTCAAAACCATCAAAGGATTAAGGCAATCTAGAGTTTGCTTTATATTCTTGTATCTTTAACAAAACCAAAATGAGAAGAAAGATGGAAAAGAATAAACACACAGTTCTTAAAAAGGATTCCTCAAAGTATTTTGTCTAGAAGCAATGTTTGGAATTAAATTAGTTCATTTCCAGTCAAGTGAGTATTTACTTAATCATTACATTTCTTCGAGGAAGGAGATTATATATTATCTTTGTATTCTAAAAAGAAAGAAGATGGATTAAGTTTAGTCTTAGTTGTTACTTAATCTAGAGGAACAGATGGAAAGGAACCCAGGTATCTATTTACGGAAGTTGAATCTATGGTAACTGAAGGAAAAGGCTACATGTCAGCTCAAGTCTCATCTTGCAAGGGAAAACCACTATGTTTTGTTTTTTCCTAATACTAAGAGCTTGCTTAATTTTTTAAAAATATTGTTTCTTTAATGTTTATTCATTTTTGAATGAGAGAGAGAGAGAGAAAGCATGAGCAGGGGAGAGGCAGGGAGAGAGGGAGACAGAACTCAAGGTAGGCTCTAGGCTCTGAGGTGTCAGCACAGAGTCCAACATGGGGCTTGAACTCATAAACTGTGAGATCATGACCTGAACTGAAGTCGGATGCTTAACCGACTGAGCCACCCAGGTGCCCCTTGCACTGTTTAATCCAAATATAGAACATATACCATGATGATACAGTGACAAAGAAGGAAAAATATTTCCTCTCTAGATGTAAAGTTGGTATTTTCACTTTTGAGTATATGGATTTTGGTCACAGCTAAAGGTGAATGTGATCTTAGGAGGTGTTTGTAAAAAAATATATTTTAGGCATACAAACAATGAAGCATAGGTAATAATGTCAGTAGGTGAAATCCCCACATAAACTAGGAAAATACCAGAAACAAAATGAAATATAGGTAAGCAGCAGTCAGGCTTAACTATCCACAGAGTAACAGAGGACAATAGAGGCAACAAATAGTCATGGGTTTGTTTGTGCTACCAGTTTTGAAACTTGTTGACCGGTAATTGAAATACAGACCCTAAATCTAACCTATTCAATGAGAAGGTGCTTTACGGATATATTCAGATTCACAACTAATTTTTATTAAGTACTTACTGTATGCTAGCTCATCTTCATAAATATTTTATTTAATCCTTAGGCCACCCCTGTGAAAAGCTGACATTTTAATCCCTATTTTGCCCTTGTGGGTAATAGGACTCAGAGATGTTTAATACTTTACCTAATATCTCACAGTGTAGGAAGTACACTCTATTTTCAAGACCATGGTCTTTTCAGTAAACCATGATAACATACCCTCAAAGTTTTCTAAACTTGGTGAAAAACAAACTCCCTGTGGGTATTGCTAAATACATTGTTTACACTATTGGCCAACTGTCAAAACCCTACTTTTTCCAATTGTAGTACTGTTTTCATTTTCTTCTTCTCCAAATTCATTACTGTTATTTTTCTCTCCACCATTTTATTACCATTTATTTTGCTTCTTTCTGTTATCTGTCTTTTCTTTACTTAAGCCATAAGTCTCCTAATCGCACAAATACACAAGACATTGCTTAATCTTTCTGATTAGTGTTTGGAAGAAGGGGAGTTAATGCTACACATTAGAATTTTCATCTAGCAGTTCTAGAGCACCTAAGCCATCAACCCGTGAACCATTATGACAATTCAAAATATTAAATAAAATTTTTAATGTTTATTTATTTTTGAGAGACAGAGAGAGAGAGTGTGTGGGCGAGGGAGGGCAGAGAGACACACACAGAATCCCAAGCAGGCTTCAGGCTCTGAGCTGTCAGCGCAGAGCCCAATGTGGGCTCAAACCCACAAACTGTGCGATCATGACCTGAGCCAAAGTGGGACACTTAACCAACTGAGCCACCCAGGTGCCCCTAATTCAAGATATTTTAATCATGGGGATGATATATTTGGCCACATACATTTGTGTGATCTGAATATGACTCCAATGTTAAGATCAACAGTAAGGATAATCAGGATACTCTGCATATGACATTAAGAAATTTGTGTTATTGGAGACAAATCATAACACATCATTCTGACTTCTAGGCATATAAAAAAAATTTATTGAACTACAGGCTTTAAAGATAGTCTAAACATTTTGATACGTGTTTTGCTTACCGAAGCTGTTTGCTGATTGGGAATGGCCCACTATAGTAACTTTAGGAGTCTTCTGCTCAGTTGTTGATACAGTTATTCCACTAAACTGAGGGCTTGACAGATAGTAACCAAGAGGTATTTCATAGGATAATGACCATGACAATGGCAGTGTGGTATCTGAATCCGTTTTCGGGAAAAAATGTACTAAAGATCGCTGTGTCATTGGATAACTGTAATGTGTGTCTTCTCTTCTGTGTACAAAAATTAGTATAATAAAGAAAGTAAGAAAGTCAAAATGAATAGACACAAACGTAAGAATCATGAACTATGAATATTACCCAGAGTTCTGCTTTTCAAAAGTGTTATGCATCTGTAAGCATAATACATAAGACATTTTGTGTATGTCATTATTATGACATCTTACAGTCGTAGTTTTAACAATCTAAGTTAGACGCTTTAGTGTTAAGACACGCTTTTTTTTTTACTTTTTTATTTAAAAATTAGTAAATTGCGACTGTAGATGATTTTGAAAAAGTGCAAAAATAGAAAGAAGAAAACAAAAGTCACCAAAATGGCACCAGCCAAATATTTTACCATTCAATTCCAGGCCTTCTAATGCATTTTTTAACTCAATATTGAGACTCTAAAAACCATTTATGTCCCACTTATATCACTTATGACATAATATTTCCCTTTCCATTAATATAAAAAACATGATTATAATTCCTGTTTAATATATCATTATTTACTATACCTTTTTATTTTAATTCCTGTTGCTTAACTAATTTTTCTATATTTATAAAAATTATAGAGTTAATGTCTACTTTCAAATATATTCTGAAAATTAATCACTATAAATACAAGGTACATGTGTATATGTGTGTACGTGTGTGTGTGTGTTGAGGGGAATACAGAAAAGAGAGAGAAAACAGACTTAAATTTCCAGGTATTATTTTTATAAGTAAATCTTACTATGAACAAAGGTTTTCCTTTCTTTCTTTTTTAAATACATAAAAGAATTTGTTAACTAGTGTGTATTTAAACAAAGCCTCTAAACTACAACACAATTATTGTACAAGTAAAATAATATTCCCATGGCACGGCTCATAAAAAGGTTTATGACAACTCCATTTTATGAGTCACACTGAGACTTAGTTACCTCAAAGCAATCTGTGTGTGTGTGTGTATGTGTGTGTGTGTCTGTATGTGTGTGTCTGTATGTGTGTACATGCATATGTGTGTGTTTAATACTTGGATTATTAACAAAGTCCTGCTGTCTAAAATATTTTCAATTTCTAAAAAACTGGTAAATGGTCAGCTCATGCACCCCTTTACTGGAGGCCATTTATCTATTTTCTGTAAGTCAAGAGCTAAGTATTTGCCTCTATGGATTGTCTCTACTTTGACCTCTTTATTTTCCAGAGTTCCTATGAAGATATTCTAGTAAGTCTTCTGTTTTTTGTTTTTGTTTTTCTAAATGTTTTCATAAGGGAACAAGGGCCTGAAGTTTCCTAATCTGCCAAAGTGATATCAGTCTTAATCTCTTTGTTTCCCAAGAGGTATTCATAATAATTTTGTTCTGCAATTTGTAAGTTCCTTCATGAGAAATATTGTATCGGGAGAGCTTTGTACTCAAAGCCATACTTCTCTAAATGTACCTCTTGGAAGACATGGACATCCCAGTTAAATTGTTTAAAACTAATTAAACAGCATTGGCTTTGAAAATTGTACTACTAGCCCAGTACATGTTAAGCTTGAGCATTTGCCATTTTGCTGACATCCTAAGCACTCATCTTTGTCAGGTAAGCTCTAACCCATGAAAATATACTCTTGTGTATGATGTGGTGGGTAGTGGGAAAGAGACTACGTAGAGGTAAATTGTCAAATTACAAATATTTCATCTCTGTCCAACCTGAGATAGAATCATATGACATGATTTCTGCCTGATACCAGCTAGACTAAGCAGGAAAAGTACTTTTCTCTTTCAAAGTTCCTTACATCTGGGTTTCATTACAAACTGCCTATATCTTTTCAGCAAGTTCATTTTATAAGCTCCAAAGTTTTTTCTTCCTCCAGTAAAACAATAGCATTTCCAAATAATTTAAATCCACAGAAGATTCCTAATAAGCCTTTGCAAATGTTGTGAGTAAAGAAATCTGGCCCAAGGCCACAAAGTATTCTTATTTTTGTAGTTGAATAAGAAATTTCTAATAGGTGCACACACTTTTGGAAGAGCTCCAACATTTCAGGAAGAGACACATGTGATGTATGTAGCCCATTGTCTAAAACCTCCATTCACTGACTTGTTAGGACTCTTTTTGGAAAATAAGAGATTTGTCCTAGTGCTTAGTTAGCTTTCCCTCTATCATATGGAATTTTTCCAAGCTCCTTCTTGGTATTTTGTTCCCTCTGGGATTGATTAGCACTAAACCAGAGATAGTTATAAAAGTTCAATTCCCACTTTCAATGTTATTTTAAGGGGTGTTACATTGGTAATACTGACATCAATTATTTCTCAGATGACCTCTAAGAATAAGTATTTTAAAAAATGGACTTGAACTGAACAGTAAACACAGGATTCTAGGTGTGAAATAGCATTAGCTTTAAATTGGATATATTCAGGGAGTGCCTGGCTGGTTCAGCCTGTAGAGCACATGACTCTCAATCTCAGGGTTGTGAGTTCAAGTCCCATATGGGACATGGAGCTTACTTAAAAAAAAAAGATGGTATTTAAATTGGGTGTATTCAATACTAGAGGTCATTTTAAAAAAAACAATCAATACTGGAAAACCCATGCTAATACTGTAATTGATAGAATGACTTAATTAGTAAAAATAGGCAGTTGTAGTTTTTTGGTTTTGTTTTTGTTTTTTGGGGAGGTGGGGAGTTGTAGTTTTTATTTCACATCCTCACAGGCATTTTCCAAACCAAAATTCTCTATCAATTCTTTGTCTCCAAGGTCAGTAAAGTAGTTCTAGAGAAATTATCTGCCAACTGCCTTAACACGTTAGATAAAAGTTTTGGAATCTCAACCATGACTTGTATGATAGAGACCTGTACAGGTGAACTTTTGTATTACTCAAGGACTATACTTTATAAAACAGTGGTTGGGGAAATAGTTGTATGTTATAGTTAACTAATTTTAGAAACGTGTGGAATCAATTCTAGTTACAACTATTTCATAAGATGTTTTGAAACAAGAGCTCAAGTACTCCATCATTATTCTCTAAAACGCAAATCCTTCTCTCCTCTCATTTGTGCCATTCTTACTGTGCTTGATTCTCCATTTTATCTTCCTGCTCATGGACTTCATTCTTCAGGGATGCTGAAGTTTCCTGAATGGCTTGCATGCCTTTCATCTTGGCTAGAAGAAAAGTCTCTTTTCTTTCCTGAGAAAACAAATCATGATACTAGGAATAAATATAGCTAAAATTCAAGGTATCCTTTGTTTTTTAATGACCTAATTTGTTAATCTGACTACGTCAAAGCATATGCCAGATTTAATAATTTCTTTCCCAAGCTGGTGCCAGAGTCAGGCTTCTAATGTAAATTTGTAAATACTGACATAGCCAAAGGATATTATGCAAATCAAGGTGAAGGTGTGTAGCATTCACTTGAAGCAGCTCAAGAGGCAGGGCTGCAACTCAGCAAGGCTACCTTTATGACTAAATTTTACATCTGGCCAACACTGCCTGTTAGAACACTGTGAGGTATTGTCTCCATAGTTACAAAGTTCCAATCTCTGAGCACTTATTATGTTGGTGCTGCACCTACTTTTCAGTTCACAGACATTAAATAAGGTAACTTGCTTTTAGGAGAGCCATATCTCTCACCAGATAAGTTTTGCTACCAAAATATTCAATATCCTGTTTTGGATTTCTGAGGGCCAAGGCCAGCATATAAATATTGGGAGCATTAGTCACTATTTTTAAGTGTTTTTTTTTTTTAATTTTTATTTATTTTGTTTTGACAAATGTTCTTTGAACACACACAAATGGCCAAGCAGTAGGAACAGAAAATTTGAATACTTTTCAGGAAGAAAGAAACCTATTGGTAGAAATAGTGAAATCAAAGCTAAGAGACCTAAATTCTTCTCCTAGTTATGCCAGCAGTATGGTTTAGAAGAAATCTTTTAGTTAAGATTCTAACTGTGAGTGAAAGATTCACATTTAATGTTTTATGATAATGATGACATGAGAATATAATAAATACATAGGAAGGTACATGACTGTACACAGTAATAAGACAGATTAAAAATGATGATTACTGGGTGAATAAGTTTATTCAACAAATATTTAAATAAGCATCCATTCTGTACCAGGAACCAGATAGGTACTATGAAGAAACAATTCCTCCTTCAAGGAATAAAGATATATAAATATCTTCCAATTTAGATTAGAAAATGGCTTCCATCATGGAATGATGAACAGTAGTTAAATACAAATGACAATGAACAAAGTAACTGCTTTAATAAGTCAAAAGAAAAAGATCTCTTTTGGAACCTGTGAAATAGTGGAATAGGAGGATCCTAAGCTTACCCTGTCACACAGATACTCCTAGATAACAACCGCATCAGAAAATAACATGAAGACTGGCAGAATAGTCTCTCCACAGTTAATTTTGGAAAGGAGGGCACATCAAAAAATGGCAAAAGAGTGGAACCCCAGTTGGAATCAAACTAACCTATGAGACTGATCAGAAGTACTGGAGGGACACAACAAGCACAGAAAAGGGAGGGGAATAGATTCCACACCAAGCACCCCAGACATGGGACCTGACCTGGGAAGATGAGTCCCCATAACATTTGGCTTTGAAAACCAGAAATTCTTTGAGTTTTCACAATCACTGGGTTTTAACAGTGGGAACTTTAAAAATCAGTGGGGTCAGCTCCAGGAGAGCCAGAAGGTGTCAGGAAACAGTTCTTACTCTTAAAGAAACAACACACAAACAACTTTGACAAGCACCTAGGGTATACCAGCAAGATTTATTTTACTAATATCAGAATGTGTGCTAGAGGTCTTTATGAAATTTCTCCAAGAACATAAGAGCTGGTGGACACCATTCTCTTTATCTATCTCCAGCCTGGATAACCAGATATCCATGGGAACCAGCATGAACATTCGGTACCTAGTCTAGGTTTCATCCTGCAAGCAGATGAGCACTTACCTTGCCAACACCTGTGTGCCTCCCCCTATTCTCCTGCAGACTGCCCCATCCAACCTGCCTTAATCCTTCCAAAGCCATGTCTGATGTAACATCTCCCACAAGCAGCCCTGACAGTGGCCAGCACCACTCCAAAGTGACTCTTGCTCTGGTGAGAGGGGAAGATAATCACACAGATCAGTTCCACTGCAGTTTTTGTGGTGGACTAAGGGAAAACATCTTATCTGACTGCTAGCCCTGCCTACCAACAAAAACTTTATGGGGGCAGCACAAAGGGGAAACCCTGTATTTGGGGGGGGCCACTGCAACCCAAACAGACAGACTGAGGGTAGACATCTGATATGATAGAAGGTTTCATTTACCAAAAAAAAAAAAAAAAGCCACTCAGGAGACCATTCAGGGACAGCACTTTGAAGGTAAGTGCAACTACAGTTCTGGAAAACGGTGAGGGCAAGCATCTGGTCTGACCCCACTACAAGCACAAAGTCACCCCAGACTGGCCCCATAAGAACACAGAGATCAAACCTTGCCCACAAAAAAGAGGGCCATCCAGCCGACTGAAGGCAAATGTGGCTCAACCACAAGAGTAGTGTGCATGCAACACACATAGGAGACATTTCTGAAGTGCCAGGTTCTGATGGACAAGAGACATTGCACTACAGGGTACTATAGGACCTCTTCTTCATAAGTCCATTACCTTAAAGAGATATAACTGACTTTCCTCATACACAGAAACAAACATAGTTAGACAAAATGAGATGGAGGAATATGTCCCAAATGATCAGGACAAAATTATAACAAAATGATTTGGAGATAAGCAATATGCCTATAGAAATTCAAAGCAATGGTCATAAAGATACTAATTGGATGTGAGAAAAGAGTGGGGTGGAGGATCTCACTGAAACCTTCAACAAAGAGACAGAAAATATTAAAAAAGAACCAATCAAAGATGGAAAACTCAATTGCTGAAATTAAAAAATATACTGAAAGGAATCAGTGGTATATAAGAGAGAGAAGAAAAATAGATCAGTGAGGTGGAAGACAGAATAATGAAAAGCAAAGAAACTGAACAACAAAAAGAAAATAGTATAGTAAAAAATGAGAATATGTCAAGGAAACTCAGTGACATCATCAAGCACAATAACATTGATATTATAGGGATCCCAGAAAAAGAAGAGACAGAAAGGGGAAGGGCAGATAATTTATTTGAAGAAATAATAGGTGAAAACCTCCCAATCTGAGGAAGGAAATAGGCATCCAGATCTTGAAGGAACAGAGGGCTCCCAACAAAATCAACCCATGGAAGTCCACACCAAGACACATAATAATTACAATGGCAGAAAGTAATGGCAGAGACAGAATCTTAAAAGCACCAGAAGAGAAGAAAACAGTTACATACAAGGGAAACCTCATAAAGCTATCTGATGATTTTTCAGAAGAAACTTTGTAAGCCAAAAGAGAATGGCCTGATATATTCAAAATGCTGAAAGGAAAAAAACATGTAACCAAGAATACTCTATCCAACAATGCTATCATTCAGAATAGAAGTAGAAATAAAATGGAGTTTCCTAGACAGACATAATTTTTTTTTTTTTTTTTTACAAATAGTTTATTGTCAAATTAGTTTCCACATAACACCCAGTGCTCATCCCCACAAGTGCCCTCCTCCATGCCCATCTCCCCTCCCCCCCACATCCATCAGTCCTCAGTTTTTGTCAGCATTCAAGAGTCTCTCATGGTTTGCCTCTCTCCCTTTCCCCCACCATTTCCGCCCTTCTTCTCCCCCTTGTTCCTCCGTCAAGTTCCTCCTAATCCTCCTATACGTGCAAACATATGATATTTGTCCTTCTCTGCCTGACTTATTTCACTCAGCATAACACCCTCAAGGTCCATCCATGTTGCTACACATGGCCAGATTTCATTGTTTCTCATTGCCATGTAGTAGTCCATGGTATAGGCAAACCACATCTTCTTGATCCATTCATCTGTTGATGGACACTTAGGCTCTTTCCATGTTTTAGCTATTGTGGAGAGTGCTGCTATGAACATTGGGGTACATGTGCTCCTATGCCTCAGCATTTCTGTATCCCTTGGGTAAATTCCTAGCAGTGCTATTGCTGGGTCATAGGGGAGTTCTATTGTTAGTTTCCTGAGGAACCTCCACACTGTTTTCCAGAGGGGCTGTATAGACAGACATAATTTAAAGAGGCTCATCACCACTAAATCAGACTTACAAAAAATGTTAAAGGGAATTTGTGACCGGAAAGAAAATGGCCATAATCAAGAATAGGAAAATTATGAAATGAAAAAAAATTCACAGGTACATACAAACATAATAAGTATTATATTAACTACTTATAAAATCAGTGTAATTAAACCACAAAAGCAGTAAAGTCATATCTATTAAAATCAGTTAAGGGATGGATAAGTAAAATAAGAGGATGTCAAGTATGACATCATAGACACAAAATGGAGGGGACGGTAAAAATTTAGGGCTTTTAGAATGAGTTCAAACTTAAATGACCATCATCCTAAAATAGACTGCTGTATGCATAGGATCTTACATATCAACCTAATGATAATCACAAATGGAAAACTGTAAGAGATATGCAAAGAATAAAGAGAAAGGAATTCAAGTATATTACTAAAGAAAGCAATCAAACCAAAAAAGAAGAGAGTAAGAGGAGAAAGGGAGAAGAACTACAAAAGCAGCCACAAACAAGTAACAAAATGGCAATAACTACATACCTATCAGTAATTACTTTGGATGTTAATGGACTAAATGCTCAAATCAAAACATAGGATGACTGAATGGATAAAAAGGCAAGACCCATCTATCTGCTGCCTTTAAGAGACTCACTTCTTTTTTAAAAATTTATTTATTTATTTAAATTTAAGTTAGTTAAAATACAATGAAGTATTTGTTTCAGGAGTACAGAGCAGTGATTCATCTTTTATGTGTAATACCCAGTGCTCATCCCAACAAGTGCCTTTCTTAATGTCCATCACCGACTTAGCCCATCCCCCCAACTACCTTCCCTCCAGCAACCTTCAGTTTATTCTCTATTTTTAAGAGTCTCTTATGGTTTGCCTCCCTCTCTGTTATCATCTTATGTTTCCTCCCCTTTGCTATGTTCATCTGTTTTGTTTCTTAAATTCCACATATAAATGAAATCATATGATATTTGTCTTTCTCTGACTTGTTTTGCTGGGCATAATATACTAG